TAACACTATCTTCCATCATTTAATCCATTTTTTAGCATTTACGGACACATTGGATCCTTTAACTTGGTGGCCTTACCGCAATAACGATGGTCAAAAGTGTGTTTATGAGTAAATCTCACTTTACTTGATAGTTTCTTAAAGATAAATTTACTTCTGACGAACTTTTTAAAACCAGAGATATTAAAAAGTTTTTTAAAACATTTTAATAATCATTATCTTTACAGTATTATTTAGTCGTTAAATACTAATATAGTCATTGACATAGTAAGATGAACAGTGGGATTTATTTAAAGCCCCTCCCTCTAAACCTTTCATCCAAGTTTTTGAAAAAAAGAAAAAAATTCTAAATGCAAAATAAGTAAATAAAATTACAACAGAAATGTTTTAAATATATTCATTTTTTTTGTAACCTACTGTTTATATTCTCCAAATCTAAATCAGATATGTTGCACGTACGACCTGATATTGTTGTGGGTGTAGAAATTAGATATATAATTTTAGAATTGAGCACCTAATGCTTGTCATTTTTTAATTGGCCAAAAGAAGTTTTTCCTGGTCCATGTGGATGCATGAATCTAACTTTTATATAAAGCTCGCTTACATCTTCAGCAATCCCAACCTACTTAAATCCGTCATAAAAGCAAGGAATATAATTGTTTTTTGTTTCATCTTTAATGAAATCTCTTTACTATGTTTGCTTGTATATCAAATATTTTAATACATGTATCAATAGATGTATCAATACTTGTTTTTTTAAAACTTATAGTGTTTGAAGCAATTGGAATAAAATGATGTTATATTCTTGTGCCAAGAACTGTTTTTCCTTGTAAACATCTTTTTTCTAATTGTGCTTGTGTATGGTTGATTTTGTCATTAGAAAATAATTCAAAACAAATTCTATATATCTTGGCTTTACAAAAGGAGTACATCAAATTAACATCAAAAGTCTACCCAATTATTATTTGTTTTAGACTTTCTTGACATACTTATCTTTTTACAGTCCCACAAATACCATCTCATAGGGATTTTTTGTTGCTGGTAGCAAAAAATACCTGTTCAGCATTTTAATAAAAGTCTCGACAAAGATTCATAAAATTTCTAAAATTTTTAAACTGCGCTACACAACCATTGAAAGAGTATTTCACATTTGATTCATCAGGTAGATTTTCTTTAATATATCTAGTTATATCTTCCTGCGTCTTGTTAAATGAATCCTGTGTCATAATCAACATCTTCTGAAAAGTAAAAAAAAGATTTATGTTTGAGAAGTCTTTTCTCTATAAAAAAAAGTACAATTGTAAAAAGTTAACATTGACTTTTGCTCTAGTGATAACTTTGAACCTCATCCTGAACAACATTTTGATAAAAATTCAGCAAAATCTCCTAAAATTAAGCATTCAATTTAGTTAAGATTTTCTTTACCGTTTTTCAAGTATCTATATTGTGCTTTTGCAATAAATGAATGAGTGGTAAAACTGTTTATCCTGTTGTTTGATAAATCATTAAATTCATTTAGTGACAATGATTGTAATAGTTTTGTTGTACGATTGGTACTATTGCTAATTCTTGAAAACTACATTTTCTTTAAGCTCATGGTCCATAAACTTCTGTACTAAAAACATTATAATGCTTCAAGGCCAGGGCATTGGTTACATAGATGCAACATATATTCTGAATTTTTTAGAAAATAAACAATCAATGGCATTAAATCTTAATAACTTTTATTCCACCAATGAGATCATGAAAAGATCTCATTGGTGGAATAAAAGCATCAATAAGAAATTTTGTGTATTAGTAATGTATACATTCATTATCAGTACCTGACGCATTATTTGTAATGCACCATTTAGGTATAAGAATACAAAACTTTGACAAAGTGATTTTGACGTTAGGGTAGTCTTTTGTGAATGCAACATGTAATTTATTAAGATTGAGTAACAATAATCTTTTTTGAACATGTTGGTTTTTCTTAACACTTATAAAAACTTTTTTTTCTGTCATTTGTAAATTTTCTTGCAGTTCAAACAAGATACTCAGACACTTTAAATAAGCATGATATCTTGGTGTCATGTCCGTGATTTTGGTGCGAGTGTTAACATTTGCACCCTATGGCAATAAGAGTCAGAATTTCTTAATTTTTGTGTATTTTATTTCATACATTAAAATGTCTAGGTCATGGTCATTGTAATGTTTGTAATAATTTGAAATAATGCTTTTTTGTTGTTGTTGTTAAAGAAGTTTCCTTAATGTATTATGCTAATGAGACCATTTTTGCAACTCTGTCAATAATGTTCTCAAACTTTTGTTTTGCTGCAGGCAATTTGCTGTGTTTTGAAAGATTTTAAAGTTTGACTGGTGAAATTATTAGCAATTTTATTATCAATAATATTTACTGCAGAATTTCTAACCTGCGATTACATAAACAATATTTTTATGCAAATATTTTACCAAGTTTAGGGAAATCTTTATATTACCTAAGAAACAAATTTAGTTTTAAGTTTTTAAAATAACTGAAAATATAAATATTTTTTATAAATAGTAAATAGTTTTTCTTTTAATTTTCATATCAATTCTGTTGTGATTACATTTTATAGCAATATTTTTACTTTTTTTGTGTGTTCCAAAAGGATTGCAACACTTTGTAGTTTTTCTCTAAAAATATTTTCTTATTGAACAATATTTTTCCTTTAAATTTGCTCGCTATATAATTTCTTATTATTTTTCACAAAAAAGATTTTTGAGTTGAGCATAACCTTATTTTAAAGAAAATCCAGTTTTGTGGCAATGAATGTTCAGGCTTTTTCCAATGTCACATTTCTCCATATAAAATATGTTTATTTTTTATGTTACCTAATATTATTTATAATATTACACTAAATTTTTAATGTTGCCCATATTATTTATAATATTATCAAAATAATATAAAAATATCAAAAATCACAATCACTCTTCAAGAAATGCAAAGGGGGTTAGTCAGAGGTCCCCAGGCCCTTTCCAGGCCCATGACTATAAATGTCCTAAACTAGTCAATAATAATTACCAACAAGATGTAAAAAACACACCTTTTAAACGCCTTTTAAATGTTTTGGATGTATTTTGAACGTTTAAAGTCTATTTTAGATTCTATGCCCACTGGGATTAGGCTTCAAAGACTTCTGGAGAATCTGAAATTTTGCAAATCTGTTTATTCCTCAACTCTTGCATGGTTTAGAATATATTGCATTACCTAAAGACAAGGCTAATTAATTTAATACAAACTTTTCATTTATCTCATCTCTTGATTCCACTATTCAAATAGTACCTGATGGAGCTGACAAACAAGTTGATTGCTTTACATTGGTAATCCTCCAGCTTCTGTATCAAAAGTGATTTTCTGATTAGACTTATTAATAGCTTATGGTCCAGACAACATACATTTTATTTGAGATAAGTAGAAAGTAGTGATTGTCTCATTCTAGTCTCATTCTTGAAGATGAGGTAACTAGAAATGACTAAATTAAATTTTTTTTGTTATATATATCTTGAACCTGGTTCTCCTTATATCAGTAAACTTTCCGGTGAGGGGGCATTGTTAATTTATTAGCTCAAAATTTTATTTAAACAAAGTTAAATGTAGTTGTACAAAGAAACATTTTTAAAAAAAGTTGCACAAAGTTTTTATTAAACTAAGCAGATAAAAAGTTTATTTTTATAAAAACTTATATCAACCGCAAAATATATAAAGTAAAAAAACGGAATAAAGCTACTACTAAAATTTTTAATAGTATATAAGTATTTAAATAATAAAACATTTGGTTGATGATTCTATTTTGATTCTTTTTTTATATAATAGGAAAAAAACATTCTAAATGTTTTTAATTTTTTACTATTTACATACATGACATATAAGTTGAACATGTGGGGAGCAGGGCCGCAGAGAGCCATTACGCAGTCTGGGACAGCAATACTGATTGGCGCCCTTATTTATCAAAATTTCCCAAAATTATAGATAAAGTATCTTTTTTTTTTATTTCATTTGGTGCCTCTTGAATATTTGCCGCCTGGGACAAATTTTGTCCCTTTTGCCACCTCCCCTCTTCTTGGTGGTACTGGTGAGGAGTGCTACTCCATTGACTGACATATAGGTATAACATGCAAGAGTTCTGCTTCCACAGACTGACAAACTAGTCTAAACTTTAAATTTCAAAATTAGTTTAAAATCCGAATTATAGATAGTGGTAGCTGATTTTATTCAATTTCAAACAACATTTAATTTAAATTGTTTGTATTAACAATGTTATTAACACTGTCTTAACAATGTTTTAAGGATGGTATTAAAGATGTGTAAGAAGAAAAAAGTTTTTATGTCCTACACATTGTTAATAACAATTTTAATAGTGTGGAATTTGGTTGGATCTTAGAATTAGGAGTACTTTAATATTTTACTTTGAAGATGATATGATTTCAGTTTTTTTTTCCATTTACAAAAACATTAATATAATTAAAAAAAATTTTTAATAACAATAGTTAGACGCGTTTAAGAAAACTAAAAAAAGTTAATAACTGTATTTAATAAACAAATATCTTAACTTTGAAGCAGTCTTTTTATAAAAACGTATAATGTCGCCAATATTTAACTTATATTATAAAATATTATTACAAAAAAATATATTATAAAAAATACACGGTCACAGCTGCTTTATTTTGTGAAAAATAACTGTGACTTATTTAATGCAAAATCTTTGAGAGGCATTTAGGAGAAGAAAAAAGATGAAATTTTGAAAAATGCTTTAAAACAATTTAATGATATATTATAAATAAATAATTACAAATATATAAAAAAAACATATATTTTTCAGCACTAATAATTGCAAACAAAAATATAATTAAACATGTGAATTTGTAAAGTAAAAAACCCTTTTTTTTAACTTACAGACATTTCTTTTTTTCCTTCTTATAAACAAAAGAGAATTTTTTTCACTTTCAATTTTTCTAAAAATTTAATTAAAAAAAATTCTCACCCAGTTTAAATTCTTGTTTTACTTGATTAGACAGATTAAAAGCCATAGTTTCATATCTAAACAAATTTATTAAAAAAAAAATCTTTTACCTGATATTTGAAATGATTCTGATTACTTAAAGGCAAAAAAAAGATAATAATATATATTCAGTGGTGGTTCAAATTTTATTGTTATTTGAGATAACTAACTTCCAGATATGGAACAAACTCTAAACATTTGTATGTTTATATTTATGTTAAATAAAGATACTTTGCAAAAATTTGTGACGATTAGAGCCTTAGAACAAAAAAGTTCTAAAGTTTTAACCAGAACTACCCCAAACAATAGAGCAACAGATTGGCAAAATATTTTTTATACTATTCTTAACTAAAGTTATATTCATCCATAAATTTAATTTTCATTGTGTAACTTCTCAGCGTTCAAAAATTATGAACATATAAAATTTATATCCCTATTTGAAGGGATTACAAATTTTATATGGTCATAACTTTTAAATGTAAAAAGATTATTGTATGAAACTTAATATTTAGTTAAGAATAAAAAAAAAAAATTTATCAAGTTGTTGTTCTCACATTTAGGGCAGTTGTGGTCGAACATATAAGGATTTTTTGTTCCCAAACTTCAAGTAGCACAATTTTTTGCAAAGCATCCTTATTTGACATTTTTTTTTTAGTATTATTATTATCATTATTAGGCTTTTGGTAATGCAAAATTAGGGCGACATCATATTAAGGAACAAGTGTCATCTGTTAAATTTGCAATAGTTACAACTTGTCGTAAGTGTTATTTTGGTGTAATAATAGTAATAAATTCTTATTCACATGTGATCCAACATGAAATACTTTTAAAAAACTTTTTTTTTTGATAGTATTAAAGACTCGTATGATGTTTAAGGGTCTTGGTGCGGATTCACAAAACTTTCGTAACCCTTGCGTAACGGAAATTGTACGCAAATTTAATTTTTCGTATTTATTAGGTATTTACAAACATTTCGCAGCGTTTGCGTATAATTAAGTTTTGCAAAAGCTACGCTTTACTTTTGCAAAGAATTTAATAATTTTTTTGCGTAAGTTTAACTTAAATTATAAAAAAATGAGATATCATTCCTTTACATTTTAACAAAAATAAACAAGGTAGTATAAATGTATCAATAGAGCAACTATTATATACTCAACTACTTTTGCAATTACTATAGCAACTTTTTTTTTAAGGTTAAATCTAAGAAAATTGGTTAATTAGTGAAATTATTATTTAAATATAAATTTAAACTTAAAAAAAATGAAATGAAATTTAACTAATAATTTAAGGAATTATAGATACATAAAAAATCTCTATAAAAATACGCTTTATTTGAGACTCATATTGACATACTTTAAAAAAAAACTTTTTTTTTTACAAAATGTTGAACTTTTACCCCTGAGAAATGGAATAATAAATTGTATTGCTAGTTCAGCAACCTAAAATTTTTGATGTTGTTAGCCTGTGCTAAAAGCATTATTTTAAAGGAGTTATTTTTTTAAAAATTAATTAAAATGTTAGAAAGGACTTTCAATGATTTCTAATCAAGTTGAATGAAAACTGCTATTAGAGTATTAATTACGACCTGTAATTAATATTTATTAGCTGCAATAAGTTTAGTTAAGCAGCCGTGTCGCAGTGGTAGCGCACTTGAATCAGAAACGTAAGATCCGTGGTTCAAACCCCACCTCTGGGCAAGTTTTGCGACATCGGTTGGGAAGGAGGCGTGAACTTCCTATTAAATGCTCTTTCGCGGTGCTTTGTGATAAGACCGTAAGGACTTCTTGGGGCACCTAAAATCAACATAAAAAAAAAAAATAAAAAAAAAAAAAAATAACATCTATTTTACAACTACAATAGATTATAGTGGTCAAATTTCTAAAATCGTTTATTTTCAAAAAATATAATTTTTCAGATAATATTAAAAAATTGCTTTAGAAAAAAGTAAAAAGTAAAAAGTTCAAATTTGGACCCTAGTTTTGTGCTACAAACCATAAAAAAGCCAAGTGATTCATCGATAGGTATTGAGATAATGGTAGTCCTATAAAAGCTCAAACTTTCAGTGTTTACTTATATCATAACAAGATACTGATTGAAGCAAAATCATTAACTTAGCTTTAAGTATGAAGTTTTATACATAAACGATTAATTAGCCAAAATTTATCCCAAAATAACTTTAAAAAACCATAACTCTGCTCAAGTCTAATCTTATTTATAAAATTAGACTTGAGCATAAATTTATAAAAGTTTTTTATAAGCTTTATTCAACTGTTAAAGTTTCATACAGAAATTATTATTCATGTTTAGAAAAACTGAAAAATTTTTAAATCATAAATAAATATTCTATACGATGTGAAAATTCTGGTAACCCTTTTTCAAATCTCAATAAAAATATCAATTGGAAGATTGAATTAAACTAAAATCACTAAAAACATCCAGCATCATAAGTTATTTCATTTCATTTTTTTTATCTTGATTAATTTAACCTTATAATTTTGGTCCAAGGTTGGTTTAATTTATCACTTGATTTTTTTGCTATATTTTTAATTTTTTATCTTTTTTATTGCAAAACGTTTTGTAATTATTACCTGGATTATTAGTTCTAAATAAATATTTATTTAACTACTTAATCTTTTAAACACCGTTTATAATTTTATGCAATTAAAGAAATTTTATTGTTTTGAGTTTTTTCAAGGCACCTTTCCAACATGTTTTTATCAGATAAATCAATAAACATTAGCATGATTATGTAATTACAACAGACTGTCTTGGGTTTTTTATTCGCACATGTTTCAATAATATTGCCTGCTTAAAATTTGCACCAGATATTAATAGTTCCACAACACATTGAATGTTTTAATTCTGAAAATGATGCCTCAAATTCACAAAATCACAACTTTTGTAAGTTCTTTTCAAGCTTTATCATAGACAACGAGATAGTTGATTGAGATTGTAAATTTAGGCACTAAAAAAATAATGATGACTCTTCATTCATATTTCAAAAAAAACTGGCAATCTTGATTTTCGTCATTCTTTTTTTAAAAAAAATTGAGAAGCACAAGTTTTTCTTCTATTCAAAACATCAGTTTTTATATTGTGCAATTAGAATTATATTTATTTTATTCTTCAATAGAAAAAAAAAATGATAAAGATATACACTCAGGTTATATTAACCATTGATAACAAAAAAAGATAAAATTAACTTTTAATCTACACAAAGCAATTAAACAACATATATTTATATATATATATATAATATATATATATATATATATATATATATATATATATATATATATATATATATATATATATATATATATATATATATATATATATATATATATATATATATATATATATATATATATATATATATATATATATATATATATATATATATATATATATATATATATTGAATTAAATCCCGGTGGAAAATCGGCTAGCGAATAGAAAGTTATAATCGTTACGATAAAGACAGTTGGACAAAGCAGACAAAGCGATTTGGCCACAAGGATCGCTAGCTTTTTTAAGTTAACGAAAAGCTATCGATTTTTGTAAAGATAAAGAAAGCGATTTGGCTACGAGGAAAGCTAGCTTAATAAGCAAAAGACTCACAATCTATTGTAGCTACCGTTAAATCGTAATAAAATTGCTATCAAAAAATTTTGGTATGTAGCTATCAATCAACTATAGATTTGTATATATTTTGTAGCTAGCTACAAAGCTACGATATGTAGCTAGCGACACATTGCTACAAAATCGCAATGTTTAAAGTTCAATTATTTTCATAATTATAATAGACTCAACACTAACAATTGAATTTTTAAAGATGTTAGAGACATAAGTAAAGAACAATATAAAAAAAAGCGCTTGAAAATCGCTATAAAACTAGCTAGTCGCTCGCTAGTCGCTAGCTCCTTTCCCACTGCGATTCAAGTTAAAAAGCTAATACAAAACTCAATTAACTGACAATAATTATATCAAATTTTTTACGAACTTAATTCTCCAAGTTTTACATTATAAATATATTTTATTAAACATAAAACTAATCTTAATCTATAAAATATTAGGAATATTACCTTTTCCCTTCAAACTAAAAGTTTGAGTAGCACCAATTTAAAGCTCATTTATTTGTAAGCACATGCTAACAAACATTATTCTTTCTTAACAAACATTATTTATTGTTAATAGAATAAAATAATCATATTTTTAGTGTTGAACTTGAATAAAATTTTTACCATCTTTCAAGCAACAAATTGACAAAACATATAGATTATTTAGTATATAACATTTTAGCAGAGTCTGTAATTACTACTGCAAAATGACATTACAGACTAATTAGTCAACAACATATTAACAGAGTATATAGTTATTACTGCAAAAGGAACTAGTATTAAAAATATTTTTTTTATTAAACTTTTGCAGTTTAATCAAATTACTTTAATATATAGCCTATAGTTTCTAAAGATAGCAGTTTGTTTCTGCAAATGAAACTATAGCTTATAGATTAAACTACTTTATTTGAATAGCTAATGTTTATTAAGAAGTATTTCTTTAAATTATACATTTTAACAAAGCATATAGTTATTAAGAACTATATACTCTGTTAAAATGTTGTTTAATAATTAGTCGATAATGTCATTTTGTGTGTGTGTTACATATTCTATGCATAGGTATGCCTACAATTGTAATTAAGTTTGTAAAATATAATAAATTTTGCAATAAAATATATGACTACACTTAACATATATTTGGCATACTCTATAGACTATAGAATACAGAGTATACTATAGTATAGTATTGAGTATGCAATAATTTACAGATACATTTACACTATATTTATTACAAATTTTAAAAAATCTTATCACAAATCTTAGCAAAAACAATAGATGTGAGCTGCGCCAATATTTTAAAGTTACATCAAAGCGAAGGTAGATCATACCTAACGTAACTATTCTTGCTTAAATCAAGAAGAACATTTTCTTAAGAAATTTTGTGAATCCCATAATTTGAGAGTTGGACTTACGCAAGA